AATCGATTCTAATTATTAATCGATTTTCTTTTATTTATCACGAAATAATATATATAATATAAATAATTTTTAAATATTTTTAATTTAATTTTCAAAATATTCTAAATTTTGTCTATTTATAATATATCTCAAGAAAAAATTGAATATATTTATCTATATACTAAATCATATTTCAATATTTATAATAATAATAATATATTCTTTATTTATCTTTAAGTAATTATTGAAATTTTCGAAATTATAAAAACCTTTTCGATAATTTCGAAAATAATTTAAATGAAATTTTTAATTTCATTTCTTAATATATACGAATTTTTAATTTTTTTATATAAAGAATAGGAGAAATTCGAATAATTTCATTATTTTAAATTATTCAATATGTGCTACCAACTTCATGAATGATTATAAATATATAAAATATTAAAATATATTTAGGTCTAGAAGTACTAATTAAATAAATAAAGTAGTGACAACAATCGAAACCGCAGGAAGAAAAATACGCCCTAATTCGATCTCTCCGAAATCCTCGAACATGAATTAAAGCCTGCCAATTCCGGGACGCTGAGAAAGATTACTGATAATATCTTAAAAATTATAAGGTCAGATTATATCAATACCCTAGGGCCTAAACCCGATAAACCCGGACAACTAAGTTCTAGACCCGAATCCCCAGCAAACCCGATGCCCTGAATCCGAGTACTGAGAGTTCCGAGCAAGACGAGGTCGGAACAATTTGTTAGACGAGCTCATACCAGCAAGAACAACCTATGTAAGGTGCACCAAACCTGCTCCCTAGTACTACATCGCAAGATTGTATTCTTGCTTATCCTCCGAAATTTAAACTGCAAGCATATCAAGCTTGTCCTCGTTCACAACTGCATAGGTATGACATGTGCAAATTCAAGAAGAGTCATTCCAAGGCATTGTTGTGGTCTTCTCGAGAACCGATCGATCGAGGTCGTGCGGTGGCTTGTGAACTTGTGGGCAACCTAGCCCGTGGCCAAGGGGCAGGTTGCGCTGAAGATTCTTTGGCTGACCGCTGCTCAGCAGCACACACTGCGCCGTGCACGTGGCTTCCTGCCTTGACAGCAGAAGCGTGCATCAGTGGGACCTCTGCATTCCCGAATGTTGACTGAGGTTAGAACCCATTGCCACCTGTCCCCCTCCAGCTCCTATACAAAGCAGTTCTAGCGCATGTCTCTCGATCAGATGCAGGTGACTGCCTGCAGGATATCCAGCGTACGCATTGTAGCCGGGTGCCCCGCCTGGCCCCAGGAAACTTCACCGTCTTACAACTTCGACCGTTGTCTGGGCAATCGAGTGCCGGGCCGTACATGCCACCACCACGTACAAAAGATCCGGACACCTCATGCGAAAACGCACTCCCCGTCATCAGTGAATTGTCAGATTTGTTGGAGCGGCTGGCATATTCTTTATGCTCGACGAAGCCACGTGGGACCGTTTCTGCAGCGTTTGTTCTTGCCCTCCCCGCGTGTGCATGTCTGGTTGGCCATCAAGCACTCTCAACTTCATGCATCACTGTGACTGCAGTAGGGCCGATGGCTAGGAGCTGGACGTCCTTGTTGTACACTTGTTGCGCGGACAACTGTTGTGTGGCAGCCGCGTCTTGCATGCCTGATCTCAACTTGAGCATTGCAGCTTGTGTGTGCTCAGATGCCTCGTGGTGCCGACGAGGCTCCGCTATAACCACGAGCATCGTAGCCATAACCTGCGCCTGCAAGTTCGAAACTTTCGTCGGCATCATCTCTTCCAAACGAAGTCATGCGACAGCATGCAAAGGCACCTTGCCCATATCCCGACGGACCGTAGCCGTAGCCACAACCACCCTGACCACCTTGTCCACCACCATACCCGGTCCCACCATAGCCGGGGCCGTAGGCGTTGCCATAGGTTTGGTCTGGTGCACCATATCCGGCACCTGCATAGCCTCCATAACCTTGGTATGCTTGACCACATCCCTGGCCATATGACCTGACGGGGAGACATGCGTCAACTTGACCCTAGGCGCAACATCAAGATGCACTCAACGCTCAGCTCGAAACCCTGCAGCACCTGTGGCCTGTGCACCTCAGGTTCAGCATCACAAGACCTCATCAATGCTGTGCATTCGTCCGCTTCCCACCTGCTCCATAGCCCTGGCCGGCATAGCCTTGACTGTAGCCTCCATACCCAGAATAGTTCTGCGTGCCACAGCCGCAGTAGCCTCGTTTCAATCGCACGCAAAGCTCATGATTCTGACAAGTACATCGGAGTGCAGGTTCGATTCAGTCACCCGAGATTGAGATGGCCCTGGCCGCAAGCATATGGCATATGGCACAGACAGCGGCGTCTCTTTTTGCACTTTGACCCATCGTGATGCCCTCCTGTTTCAAGATCAGATCACCTTCCTATCCGGCAGATAGCCAATCGTTGAAATGTCTGTGGCCCGGGCTGGGTTTCAATTTATTCGCCCACACCCAGTACTGCTGAAATTAGGCTTGAGATGACTTGCAGCAAAGTGACCGACACTGAAACCATTGTATCCCGTAGTAGCAACCCGAAACCGGTTGTAGTGTAACGTAACTTGGCTAGGAGGAATACCCAATTCAAACATCTCGAAAGGCTTTCTTCTCCAAGCTGCTTTGTGGAGGACGAGTGGCCATGGCATCCTGAAGAACAGCTTGCAGGCATGTTGCTGAAGCTTGCCAACCGAGGCCTTGAGCACTTTCAGGCCAACTCAGCTTTCGGCATAGTTCGTGAAGGCCCCGGCTGGCTGTGTCTTCAGGGCCTTGCAAGCCGGCTGGCGCAGACGGGGCATCTTCGGAGCAAATCGTAGAAAGAAATGGAAGGCAATTGCAAAACAACGCGCGTTCCGAACGCTCCAATGTAGAGGCAGCAATTACGATTTCTCTACTTCAGGTACGGCAAGAAGCCATTGAAAAGATGTGGGTTACTTTCGCCGCGGACCTGGCCAAGACTTCCATGCATGCATGGCAGTTTCCATCCTGGGCAACGGCCTCTAGCCAACAACGAGAACGATTCGGGAACCCTACACCCAAATCGGTTAATTGGAATCAGAGGACTCTCGAACCTGAGGACGGCGCGTCTGGAGTCATTGTTTTGAACCTCTGGCCACGACCCACTAAGGGTGTGCAAAGGTGCTCCAAGAGCTAAGAGGACACTCTGCTCGAAATTCTGCGAACTCCTACCCTGGCTGGGCCCTGAGCCCCAACTACCAACCATTCGAGTCTGTCCTCTCAGCACCTGTGATTTGCGACTAGCTCTGGGAATCTATGGCTCTGGCTGCCCCACATCGGCGACGTTTTGCGTTGCCATCGCCGCTGTCTGACATGGCAGGGGCTTTCCAGTTGCAAGAGCCTAGTCGCATGTGCCATCCGAGACCACGACATTACCGGAGAAGGCTGTGCGCTGGAAAGCTGCACCGCTGTTTGTGCCAACAGCCTGCTGCAGTACATTGAGAATCCAAACTTGCGAAAGCTTGATTGTATATGCTCAAACTGCGAATCCAGCATTCTACACACTGCTCCTGCGTGGGCAGAGAGGCAGTCTGCATGGTGCCCACGGCTCCTGAATAGGGTGTGCTAGGCACGTACAGAAGTGAAAGAGGAGTTTGGAAGGCTTTACTGCAACATACAGTACTGCAACCCTGTCTACGAGACGGAATGGCTCAAGATGAGAAACGAACGACGCAAGCACGCCATTCACAGGACAAAATCCTTCAGGTTGCTATAGCTGCATCTGCTCGAATGTACTGGCTGCAGGCGTTCACAAACACTTGCCGGACCCACCTCCCATGTAGTTTCCGTATCCTGGAAGGGAAACATGCAGCTACCACTGGCTCAGGACATGTCGACTTCAGCTGGAGCTTGCAGTCCTCCCCCAAAGCCGTCATATTTGTAGGTTCCATACGACATTGCTGCTTTCTGACTTGCTGAAACAGCAACTACGTAGTAGTGATAGCAGAGATTTTCTGGTTCTCGAATCTGATGAGTCAACCCACAAAAGGACGTGGCTGTCGCATATAGGTTGACGTGCTACAGATAGCTTTGCCTCTTGTCAGAAACCGACAGGCTGCAATTCTGAAACTGTTGATCTCTCAAACGTACACAGAAGCCTTGACAAGTCGAAGGAGGGTGTGCGCGCGCAGCAGGGGCGCGGTGCCATTTCATCGCATCGAACGGAAGTCAAGAGTGGGGGCATCCATTGCCGAGAGATCTAATAAGATTCAAGTGAAACAAGCTGGGATCGCTCAGCGAAGCGGGATTGCTCCTGCGTCCTGGATGTCGCAACCTTGGCTGCATCATGTGAGCACAGCGAGCTTTGGATTTGCTAGTACCGTCTAATATGCTGAATGAGGGGCGGACCTGCACTCAGATAAGTGTCGGCCCCGGTCACTGGGTTCGTTCCTCCACGAAATGAAAGGAACTGCAATGAACCTGTGAACTGATTGGGGTGCTTCTGCGTCTGCTGGCGCTGCCTTTCATTGTCGGGTTAGTGCACAGCACCCTGACGCTCTGACTGTCCAAGAAGGCCTGGTGACAGCGGAGCTTTTCAGCGGAGGAAAGAGAGTATCCAGCCACATGCCAGAGTCGCGTCTGTGAAATCAGCACCCTCCACATTTGCTTCCTCAAAGCTGGACCTGCCGTACACAGCGGTCCAAGGACTCTCGCTTGTCGAAACAAATTCAGCGCAAGGCGTGGTCAGCATTGCATTCTTGAAAATTGCCTTACTGCAGCTGCGTCTAGATGTCCCAAAAAGCGATCGATGATGAGCCAGCGTGTCACAGGCACACTTGGCCAAGTCAAGCAGCATTCTTCAAATTGGCTTTCGTGAGGTCCATGCGGTCCTGCTGTCGATGCGAACAGAACAAAGCTCGTAATGCGGCCTGCTAGAGGCTCTGCAGAAAGGATCCGCATCTGGCTATCCGAGTATCAAAGCATCGGCAGATGCTGTCCGCCACCGAATTTTTGAAATTGGCACCCTCGAAGTTGGCTTGCGCTGCTACGACCTGTGACATGCAGTGCGCGCATGCCTGAAAAGACATGCATGCTCGGCACCGCTGCTTATGCTCGCGAACCATCATGACCGGCACCGGCCTTGGTCAACTGCGCGTTCTCAAAGTTCACATTGGAGAAGTCTCCCTTGTTCATCAAAGCTCCTGAGGCGTAGGGAAAAAGCCCGTAGCATGTTGAGCGATGTGGAAGCTTGTGGTGCCTGATACATCGTTGTCGGCTGCACTGGTGCCTGGGCACAGCAGGGCTCCTCTCTTCTCGACACTCACCTTTGCCCCACTGCTACCCTGTGTCATTCAGATCGTCAAGATGTTCTTCAATGCGAGATTGCCAGCGGACTGTCCCATCGTACATCATCGGGCGAAAGGCACTTTGTGTTGGTGAAGTTGCTGATGGCGTAGATGCTTGACACTGCTGATGCGATTGCGGATATTCTGCCCAACATCGGTATGGCAACCAGGACAGACATGTCGTAATGTTGCGCACTGTACGAGTTGGGTCGATATGAGGAATAATGTTGTACCAGGCTTGATTTGGTGACGCTCGTGAATGCGAAGTTTCTCGAGCTAGTTCCGTGTGATTGATAGTTTTGCCTGAACCTCTACGTGGCGAAGCCTCTTTGACAGGATGTTTGGTCGTTTCCGGTTCTGTGTCCTTTCTGTTCCTTTCGGGGATGTTGTGGGTGTTCTATCGGACGGGCATGCTATGGGGTGCTGTATGCTGTTTTCATTTTCTATGGGGTTATGCATGGTTCATGGTTCCACAGTATGGTTTTCATCCTAGGGGTCTTGTGTTGGGCCTGTTGGTGTGTGTGTGTGTGTGTTATGGTTTGGGTGCTAGGGGGTGGTGCATGCCTACAAAATGGAAATAGTCTCCACTGGCTCTATTTACCGAGCCCTCCCCCAACGATGGAGGTTCCCCAGTCATCAGCGCAGCTACTCAGCGGAATACAAGCACATCTCCACCCCCGGAGGAATCCAAACCTCCAAACAAAAATCCGTTCCGGCTCTGGCCTGCGAGGTTGCACTCTCTGAGGTCGTAGAGCTTGTCGCGCTGCGCGCTCGCCTCTGTGGACCAACTCCGCCGAAATCAAAGATGCGAGTAGATGAGCCTGAGCAATCTGTGAAGTCTTCCACTCGCATCGTCGCGGGTCGTTCTTGTTGATCGGCGGATACCTGCAGCACTTCGGCCAGATCGCATTAGGGCCTTTAGGGCTGAATCCCTTGGCTCACGCGACGCGTCGGTCTCGGGAACCCAAGGCTTCAGCTGGGCTGGGCATCCATGCCTGCACCGACAAGCCGCAGATGCCCATGAAAGCTCGAATTGCGGGCGGTTTCAACGTAGTGGGCCGCATGACAGACCCATACCACACGGTCGTGGCTAGTCGCCGAATGCAAGGTAGTCAATCGGAAAGTGCAGATGTGCAAATGATTTCAAATCACGACGCACGATTGTGACGTGCTCAGGCTTGCTGAGAGTCTCTCTACCAAGGGTACGTGCCCTTCGTCCTGCGTGATCATACGCAGGCTCGGTCCGTCGCATTCGCTCAGCGTCATGCGAGCTTTTCGGCGCGCTGCATTCTCTGAATCCTGTGTTTCGGCTCAGTTCAAGCGACTGGACTTACAATGCGCTGTCGAAACCCAGACTATAACTCTCACATACCCTTGTACCTTACCTCTCGCATCTAAACTCTCAAGAGGGGTTCGAACAGTGGGAGGACACGAGGGAGGGCGGGGAGGGAAGGCGCAAACCAGCGGGGCCTCCAGAGCCATGGCTCCCAGGATGCCACCAGAGGTCATCAGGTGGCGGCCTCACGACGCTCCCGGCTGTCAGCTCCGTTTCGACTTGCGCATTGAACTAAGCGTGGGGCGGCTTGGCCCGGCTGTTTGAGATGGCTGTGTTCCCTGCCACATTTCAGGGCCGTCACATCACAGGGTCACAAGCGAGCGCATGAGGAAACCTAAAGACGAGGAAGCTGCCAGGGCCACATGGCCGGAGGAAGCCCCGACACGAGAGAGATGTCCCCAGCGATGTAGTACCAAGAAAACGTCTTTATGGGACTTCTAAGTCCTTCAGTAAGTATGCAGCCTCGGTTGGCATGGAACTACTTCAACCAGGAGGAAGACCCTCCGAAATCGATTCTTGAACCCTTCGAGGCATACCTCTGGACAGAGCATGTCGGAGGGTCGACACTCAGGTGGCCATTCTTGCCATGCAAGCAACTAGAAGCACCAGATCTAGATTAATACCATTTCAGCAAGTTGTTGCAATGACATTCTCGGTGGACGAGTGCCTGAACTAGAAGTGGTGAGTACAAGTTAGCCAGGATGGCCAGGAATGCCAATGACCTGAGAGTCACCAAGGCCACAGCTACTGCTGCAGCGGTGCCAATCCTGTCAAAAGATACACATCTGCGTTCGGTGGCAATGCTGAGGAGCCAGTGGCCAGCCTCGATCTGCGCATGTTTCTCCTTGTGCGCAGCATGCGGAAAGGACGATTCTGCCAAGCTCAACTCTCTCTCCGGGTTTCTCCACCTCGTGTGGGCCTGCTGAAGGGGCTTGCGATGGTCGCGGAGGGAAAATTCGCGGGAAAACAGAAATTCTGCACTACTCCGCACTGCGACGGAAATAGCGAGCAGATCACGGAGACGATCCTCTTAACTTAACAGCCCTTGGAATTCGTCACTGCATTCGCGGATTCATCGTGCCTTGCTTCATACAACCCCCTCAAAGGTTTCAACGGCGGAACGGGCAAGGGCTCGGGAAGACTCAGCACTCGCGGCATCGAGCTTGCATTGCCATGGCATGAAATCACGATGGCGGGATGTCTTGACCGTTAATCTCATTTCGTTTCACTTTCCTTCACCTGGCAACCCCGGGCTCGAAGAAAAAGGCACGACGGAGGCGTCAGAAGCAATCGTGTTTGCGCTCTAACTAGAGGGTTCCGGCCTGTCAGCGCTGCCTTTGCCAGTCCTCGCGGCAGAGGCTTCACAAGAACACCGTGCGTCATGCGAGGCGCGTCTAGCCTCAATGTTGAGCCGAGGCGGTACCGGCAGCCCTCTGCCACAAACAGCCTCCAAGCGGGCCTGAGCCTAAACGGTCCGACAGGAGGCGGCATAGGTGAGACTCAGCATGTGTATACATGTGTGTATCTGTGCACACAGTGACGGCGCTGTTAGCGGACCCCATGGTTTGCCCGTCGTCTGGGAAACGCGCAATGCAAAGTGGTACCCTGACCTGAGCCTCCCATTCTTTCGCCTTTTTCGCACCTGGCCTGTGCAGCCAATTGAGAATCCCCTTTCGCTGCTGAGAAAGGTCAGAAATTGCATACAGTAGTAGATCGGATGTTGAGGTCCGGGTCCAGATTCAAGTCCGGAGGTCGGGTCCAGGGGCCCGCGTTCGGTTCGGAAGTCGGTTGCGGAAAATGCACCACTTGAGGGAGTTCTCCGGGTCAGGTCCGGGTCCGGGTCCTGAGCTGCTGCGAGTTCGATGAATAGCTGCCCAGCAATGGCTTTTTGCATGCACAAGAGCAATCATGCCAGAATCAGAATCAACTCCGCGATGCAAGGGTGCATTGTAGCTCTTTGAAACTCGACTGCATCGCACAATTCGATCCCTTAAATAATGAATAGCGACACTCAAGGCCTCTGCTTGGGTGGCTATGTCGGCTTTATGCCTATGCAGCACTGCTGCACCCATCTAACCTCAGCGTCCAACATCAACATCGAAGCTTCCGCAACACAGCACATCGTCGTGCGTTTAAACTCAAACGTCTCACTTCTCCGATGTTGATTTCAGACTGAGGCCGAAGTGCCGCTCCTCGCCTTTTGCCGATCTAGGTTACGTTGTCCCCGTGGCACGGTCTAAAGTCTAAAAGGTGCCAGTGCGGAGGCTCCACCACCGTTGGCTTCAAAACGGGTCCGGCTCTCTGCCATTCCTCGCTGTCCTTCGCGTCTCTCACTCCTCAGGCTGGGCAAGCAGGCGCTTCCGTGACTGCGCGCTCTCTCTCTGAGACGCTGACCGAGAGCTCGATCATGAGGTCCCCTGGTGCCAGGATGTCGCCCTGCTTCTCCTTGGTCCTCCCCTTGCACGGCAGGTCCTCCAGAGAGAAAGGGGTTTCGGCGGCTGCTCCTCTGATACTGCTAGTGAGGGCTTCGTCCTTCACTTTGAGACCGACCAGCTCATCCGGCACCGGAATCTTCATCTCCTGAAGAGGCGAACACCAGAACAGCCTTGATCTTCGGCGGCTGAAGTCACGACCAGACTACTGGAGCGGGTGTAATCGCTATCTTAAATGCTGTTCATGAACAGAGACAGCGATAGCTCGCATTAGACCAATGAGGGCTCCCAAACTGAAATTGCACCTGTGGCGTTGCTCTTTATCCTGCTGCGTCTAAGGCCAGCACCATTTTCATTGACTCCAGGACGCACAGGATCTGCCCCTTTTCCAAGGTGTCGCCCACCTTCGAGAAATGTGTGAGCACTACTGAATTTGATTCGGGAAGGGAACGAGCGGGATCTGCAGGAGAATCGAGCCTTGACAGCGTAGGAAAGCACCTCTCCGGGTACCACCGTCGGGACCTCCACAGGCAACTTGCTGCAATCTGCCAACGGCGGCTGTGGAGAAAGGCAATCGATATGAAACCTGGCAAGCACACGTGCGCATCGCGGTGCCTCAAACTTGTTGCCAGGCGTGGCTTTACGCGGCCCGCTTCCGGCTGCTGCCGAGCTGGCTACTGCATCCGGATCTGGCAGCTGCACCTCTTAGCGCGACGACAGCAAGGCACCAGAGCCTTTTCTGAATCCCAAAGGCCCAGAAAGAGGGCTTGCCTGGACCGTTTGGCCTTCGTGCAGAAAGCCTCGGAAAAGGTAGCAGAGACTTCCACTACAGTGTCCCGCTTAAGCCATCCCGTGCTTGGCATCGTCTTTTGCTTCCGTCGGCTTTTTCTTCGAGCGGCTGAGGACCAGCTCTCGGGCCAAACTCTGGGGCCCCGAGGCTGCTCCTGGAGCCAAGCCGAAGCCCACAAACTCGATCTCCTCCTGACAAAAGAAAGAAAGACACAACGAGACTCTACGACTCACACTCTAAGCTGAGAACGGTCTCCGCTACGCGCCTTCTTCGGCAACTCGCCGTCCAGCTTGTCCATCAGGATCTGGAAATTGGAGCCCGGCTTCAGGCTCTTCGGGGCGCTGTGCAGCACTGTTGGTGCAATTAGCAGCGGCGTCAAGTCGGTGCCCTTGGCCTCACAACAGCAACCCAGCCCATAGTTTAAGCGCAGCATCTCACCGTCTTACCACACAGGCTCTACAAACGCAAAGACCTTGCCTGCGCCTTGACAAATTCCAGTCCTTTGGCCTGATAGCCCAGGGCCGTGTGGCGCTGAGCCGGCGTCAGGTCTGCAGGGAGGTCGCCGGGGCCAATGAGCTTTGACTTCTGAGCCAATGCGGCTTCGAGCTCCTGAGGAAGGGAAGGGCACACTTCTTAGGAGATCCTCTTCTTCTGTAGCCGGCCTCGGGCATGTTCTGCAGGAGCTTGTCGACCTCCGGGGTTTTGGGAACCAGCGTCTCCCAGCGCTTCAGGCCCACCAGCACATCGCCGCCAACTTTCAACTTTCCACCCTTGTTGACCCACTGCCGTACCTGAGGCAAGGGCCGCACTCAGTGCTAGAGCCATCTCTGCAGATCCGGGCCAAGTTGCTGCATCAGCGGTCTTTGGCTCAATGCCGGGCTCGATCATGATGGCCTAAGCCGGCCAATTAAGCATGGTGCAGGGCAGTGCAGTGAGCTCTCACCTGCGGCTCTCTCTCGCACCATCCAAGGCCGGGGCAATTCCCAGTCGCAGCTTGTATTCCGAAAAGGGTGTAACGGCTCGCTCGAGGGGGAAGACCTCGCTGGCCACCTCCTTGTCACGGCATCGAAAACCACTCCGGTTTCCCTATTACCACTCCAGTTTCGCAGTTTGCACCTCACTAGCGGCAAAGTGTGTGAAAACTGCAGGTGTGCGGTGATGTGCGGTGACCTGTGCACGGTGGCGTGAAGTGTATCATCGGTTCATGTACGGACCTTCGACTGCAAAACGATTGACATCTCAAGACTCCCAACTATTCTACTGACATCCAAAACGAGCGTTCTTTCTGTCCGCTCTCCCGGCCCGGGCCTTGGCGTGGTTGATTTTCCGCACATCCAATGAATATTCTTTGGCAATCCGGATATCCGAGCCTTAGACAAATCTACTCAGTATTTACCAAAGTCTGAAACTACAATAAGTACTTAAATTGGATCTTGTTGATACATGGCCTTCGGTTCCGCCGGCCCAGTCGGAGTCCCACGGAGTCATCTGCGAAGTGCCTCGGAAATGACAAAATCACGACACACTAGTCCATGTTTTAGCTGCTGGCCAAGTCCTTTCTCCTACATGTAACTAACTGCAATACAAGCATCGGCTGTCAAACCTGCACAAGATGTTCCTTAGGTGAATTCAGTGAGGACGCAGTCTCTTTCCAAACTCTGGCTTTTTGAGGCTCTGAGGCTCCTTCACGGGCTTTGATGCAATAACTTGCCGGCTTTCGGCAGCCCGAATGAGGTTGGCACGTGACCGTTCAATCAACCCGAAGCCGAACCGACAGTGGTGGAAACTTTGAGACATAAAGATCATAAAGGCAATGTGCGTAGTCATGGCCGATCCCTGCGAGCTCTGGTTGCCAAGACTCTCAATCACCTGCTGATTGTGATTGTACTCCGCCATAGCTGCATGCTCCTCTCCACTCAAGTTCAGCGGGTCCAGTAGCACCTCAGCCCATCACCCGGTTTGTGGCGAGGAAAGGACGGCTGCAAGCACAAGACACCCGTACAGTGCTGTACTGCTCATAAACAGGTGCGGCACAGTGTTGTCATTGTGAGTACCATTCTTGCGTGGAGCAGCATCAATGACCAGGGTGCTGAAATTCGCCTGTGTGCCCCGTGCCCGTGCAGTTGCTGACATGTAGGCTCCCACAGTCATGGGTACAACAAGCAACGCTGAGCACCCTCGTCTGTCGCACCTTGTGGGCCTTTCGGAAGAGCTCTGCACCCACGTGCGCGGCGGTACCATTGAAGTCCTGCGAAGCACAGGCACATCAAGGAGCGGGCTGGGACAGGGACTCTCCCTTGTCATGGCAGCCGGACCACTGTGCAAATCAACACACAGCACAGTGTGTGTGTGTGTGTCATGATTGTGGATGTGGACAATCGGCGGTGGTAGACCCTTCTCTTTGAAGGCCGCGATCATCGTTTCGATGTGAGCCCAGACGGCGTCCGCCGTCCAGTCTTTGCCCTGGCTCTCTAAGGGTGAAAACTCTCAGGAAGTTCCTGACTCCTGGCCGACCTGGCCTGGCCGGGGTTCTTGATGCGGATCTGGTGCAACTGGAGGCCCTTCGTGCCGAAGAGGTCAATCTGGCGCTCGGTCCACTTCTTCAGAGCCTGACAACGGCCGACCCTGACCCCAACTCTAAAAACCCGCAATCGACAAAACACAGTCGCATGACTTGGGAGCAGATTGCATGGCAACTCTTGACTCTTGACTTACCTCGTGTTGAACAATGCCGGTTCATGAAAAAAATTGGCCTCCAAGGGAAATTTAGGCGAGAAGACCCAATTTGGCATTGGCCTTTCAGATTTCACGCTGTCAGGTGTGGTCGCAGCTGGGACCTTCGTCTGAGGGAGGTACAAGCATTTTGCGTCCAACAGCTCCAGGGTCGTCTCGTCCTAGTCCACACGTGAGCTGGCCAGCGGACAGAAGCCTCCATTGTTTTACACCTACGGAGCTTCTTCAGTTGTATTTCGCGTCGGTCCTGTGGGCTGTGTCCTGTTTTCGGGTCGACGAAGTTGCCGGCATGGAAGTTGTAGGGCATCCAAGGCACCCAGCCTCGATTGCGGCAGCTTGTCGAGTCCCCACAACAGGGCATGTCCTGAGGTTTTGAGAGCAGAGCTCTCGATGCTTCCCTTGCCGCGGTAGTGCTGCGACACGATCTCGCCCGTCGCTTGGAAGAGAGGACGCCCTCGACACGTTTGATGTTGCATGCAGTCTTCTCTCTAAGACTCGTAAAGAGTGCAATGCTCTTAAAGAGTGCTCTGCTCATGTTCTTTCCATAAAAGGCCAAGACTCGGATCTCGGGCGTAAGCTCTGCCAGGCCATTGACGTACTGCGAGCGCTGCAGCGAGTGAGCAGGCATGTTGTACGGCAGGCCTGCAGCGAGCCGCGGCCAACTTCATGCCCTCACGCCCTCTCCCCGGAGCCACGAGGCAGCAACCGACGCGAAGAATCGCCGCAGGATCGAAGCCACGAATCAAACCTGCAGGCTGCCCGTGACACAGGTTCGTTGCACTTCGCACTCAACCCGAACCTGCTTGGTACTGCGCCCCGCCCGTCTCATAGCCAACCTGCACGTTACACGACAAGGTACGACAAGGCAAGCATGGCAAAGTCGGCCCTCAAACTTGGAGCGACACTGGCAAGTGATGAGGTAAGCTTCTGGCGCAGCCAGCTTTTTGTGCCCAGACTTCAGCGTTGATTCGACTGACGTTGCTCACCTCAGCCCAGACAAGCCCTCTGCTCTCATCTCCTCTCCGACTTTCCATCAGATGGTTTCTGCAATGCAAGATTCCGGTAGGGGCACAGGCTGGCAATGTTTACAGAGCGGCTCCGTTCGAACGGTGCCAGGTAAGGACATGAACAAAGCCTTCGCGTAGGATGCATAATTGCTTGCAGGTCGATAAGGCGGACAAACCACGTCGCACCTACAAGAGCCTCCTTGCTGCATCGCTGTTCTACTTGCAAGCCGCTTGAAACGGACGTCAGCATATTTCAGCATGTCGCTGCTCAAAGACATCAGTGTCATTGAGCCACCGGCGGACGCGCTCTCGGAGTCATTGCCCTGCTGGGCCGTGTCACGGGGCGCCACGGTAACCCAGCCGCCGCCCTGGTGTGCCGCGTCCGCACGAATCCGCGGCACACTACACGCAAACGCTGAAGCGGACGGAAGGGTGGACCTGCTTGTCGAGCTTGGCTCGCAACTCTGCGATGTAGTCCTCGTAGGATGCCTCCCACTGCGCAACTAAGACGAAACGATGTAGTGGGGCCAACTGAGAGAATCCTTCCGCACCTCTCCCCGGGCGAAGGCCGTGAACTTGGTGGCCTCCGGTGCAGTCCTCAGCACGCAATGAATGTGGCTTGCGGAAACTTTCCGAAGGTGCAGGTATCAAATCCACTCCTGGGCTGGAGGAATCAATCAAGTGATGCCGAAAGGCTTTGTGAGTTCATGTGTCAGTTCCTCCACAGCGGATGTCACACCTTCACGGATGGTCACTATGACCAGAACCGGACTGTGCTCACATTTGCGAGAACAACGAAGTCACAAAGATAACGCGTGGCAGCAGTGCCCAGAGTGGGATAGCGCTCAGGGTCGACGCCCTCCCCCTTCCGATAGCCATTCACAATGGCGGGAGCAACTTGCTCCTTCAGAACTGTCAGCACCTCGAAGGCTTGAACAGACGGAGATCGGAGACTGTGCAGAGCTTGGGCGGCCAACGCTTCGATCTGGGTGGTCTGGGATCTCAATGTGTGCGAAGGTCTCGTTGGAAGCTGTTTTCCCAGCTCGGAACCTTGGCGGTAACGCTGTGGACCGACAACATCGCGGCTTCCGGCTGAAGCCGGAGTACGGGTTCGAAGGATCCTCCGGTGCAAACCAGCTGCTTGGGACAGGTGAAGAGGTTGTACAGCGTCTGTGCATAGGTGGATGCTGCCTCACAGTCCACGAGGCTCGCAGAAGGCACAACCCACCCTGGGTATCAGGCCGGGATGCTCCCATGACTGCTGGCTTGCGAAGCCTGCGGTCACAGAGGGGTATAGCAACATTCAGCCCTTGCCGAGGCTGCCCTCCTGAAGTATTCAGCCGCATTGTCGCACATCTCGTCCCAAGTGTCGGCTGTGATCACGGCCTTCGCACAGCTCAACTTCAACATCTCCCGCAGACCGGCGTCTTGCGGCCTTGCCCAGCTGCGGATCTGCCGTGAAGGAGATTTCGCCGGGAGCCATCAACTCTGCCTTGATGTAGTCCAGCCTCGCAAAGGAAGCTAACAGGTCTGAACACCGCCCCCTCCTGTCCTGTCTTGCACTCGACCAACCGAGGCCGGTTCCGAGGTCCAGTCATGCCGAGGATGTTCCCGGCCTCATGATTAGATACAAGTGACGAGCCTGAGTCTCAGCATCTTCTCTCGTTGTCTCAAGTTCTCCCTCTCGCTCCGTGCCTGGTAGGTGATCTTGCCGTCGCTGTCGGGATTGCCGTGCAGCCACCTTGCATGGAGGACGATGGAGCAATCCTTGGCCGGCGCAAACGTCGGTGCCGGGTATCCTTTTGCACCTCAGGTTGACGATGGATCCCAAATAAAAAGGAAAATTTGGGAGGACGGTACTCTCAAGAAAGTGTCTCCTATTCATTCTGCGGCACGCATCATCAGCTCTGCGAAAGTGTAGCGTCTATTGCCCTTGCTATCGGTCTGCAACAGTGCGAGTGCTTCCTTGGACCGCAAGGCAGCCGGACAGGAAAGATGAAGCATCGGAGCCGTGCAGCAGGAGGCAAAAACCGCGCTTGACTCTCCAGTTGCTTTGCAGATTGCTGGCATGTTTTGCTTTGCCTTTGCTTGCCACCTATCTATCCATGATCTCCCAGGATCCTACTTCACCTGGGTTTCGTCTCCTCGAGGACGTCAGGCATGAGGACTGCTGTGCTGGTAAGGGGAATCAGCTCCTTGCTGGGAAACAAAGAATGATTGACAAGTTGCGTTTTCGACTTGTGGACGTCGATTGCACTCGATAAAGGAGCACTCGTACTCACCTCGAAGACTGACCGGAGTCATCAGCTCATCGGTTCTCGAAGGCAGTCTTCACACAATGCACGGGTGGCCTTTTTCATTCTGGAACACGAGGGCTTCCATGGTGGCCCTTCAGAGAAGGACGGATGAGGAAGGACGACATCACAAGAGCTTTTATGGCCTGGTGTTGTTGTTGCCCATTTTCGCGATGTCTCCAGCCCACTTCCGCGACTTCTGATACAGATCCTGTGGCCTCAGGTGCTCCAGCAAGTTCTCAGATAGGGCTTCTGAAGAGCCCCCCCCGCAAGTGTCCTCAATAGCAACCATCTAATACGATTCGATCAAGACACATAAAGAGGTCAATCTTGTCATCGCTGAGGCCAATTTCCACAACCTCAGCAACAAAGAGTATGCTGCATCTTGAATTATCTAACTCAGCTCAACCTGTGAGCCGGGCCTTCTGCAGTCCGGAGTTGAACCACACGAACCGGCCGCCATCTGCGACGGTGCCACCGTCCACCTTTCTGCATGGAACATGCAACAGAGCACATCGGGGATATCTCAAGAGCAACAGCAACACGATCGTGTTACAGCCTCAAGCTCAATCTGGTAGAAGCGTCCATCACCTTTTGTATTCACCTTGATGCATGGCGACAGGGCTTCTGCTGCTAGAGCGCGTGACTAGCTCTCTGCTTCTGCCTGAGTACAGCTTTTTCTTGGTGGCCATCACATCCCGAAATCTTTCCGCTCAAAAGCATGTTCCAGGTATCGTATCTCAAACAGGACGTCTGTCCGTTGGTTTGTGGTGCTCTGGTGACTCTAGTGCTTGCGCATGTCGAGGTTGGGAAGAAGCCTTCGAACGCGGTGCGGAACTCCCTGATTTGCGTCGAGTCCGCCGAGGAGCCCGTTGCTCAAAGTAGATCCCGTCTGTGCGGTTCATCTCTGTGATCACCTTCTCCACGGCCCTTCGAACCTCAGTCGAAGCTTTCTTGGGGCAATCAAATCTCAGCTTGCGTACCTTGCGCCTCGTGCGGCTGGTCGGGATGATTCAGGTGCGCCGTTCCTTTGCCACCGCCGCCATGGATACTCTTGATCAGACCTCAGACTGACGCTCCTCTCTTGACTCTCTTCCGAAGTCCAGAGCACTGCAGAGCACTCCGACCCTTTTCGGAGAAGTTCATCTCGAGGATTTTCTTCATGAACTCTTGAACGCAAGCCTGCGACTCGATCATTAAGGCGCTGTCAGAAGCCATGGACTGTACTCTTCCGGGGCCTCCTTGGATTCGGGATTAGTGAGGTCGACCAAAGGTGCATCCTCCTCGGAGAGCACCGTGAAGGGCGGCGTCGGTGCCCCCACCTTTTCACCTAGCAAGGAATACTTGAGAACACAAAATATTATAAAAAACACAACTTGAGACCTTGCGTGACTTGAGTGTCTCATTCCTGCAGCCAAGTTTCAGATTCTTTTGAAGCCGATCTTCTCCAAGCCCTGTGAAGCCTTGGGCTCCGTACCAGGCCAGACCAGGCCAAGGTTCTGCACGCCCACGGCGGCTTCCGCGGATTCTGCGAAGGCGGACCAACCCGGCATGAAGACAACCTGACGTGAGATGACTTCACCTACAGAGGCAAGAGTCAGCAAGAGTCAGATCTGGCCTGCTTGGCAGCTCGGTGACGGCTGAGTTCATGGTCCTGCAGTGCTGGGTTCGGGGGCGGGATCCCTGCCGCGACAGAATCTGTCCAGATCAGTCCTGAGTGCAGAGGAAGTCAAGGCGTTCCTTGAAGTGCTGCAGATCACCCCATGTCTTGGGCTTCACATAGAGGGCGGCGTCCATGCCCGGCAATCTTTGCCTGCCCTCCTGGAGAACAGATCTCTGGCATGACCACTTTGTGCAACGTGTGACTTGGACTCGCGAAGCCTCCAAGGTCTGTATCACACGAACTGAGCTGCCCCAAACAGCGCGAATGTCCGCAAGAACGGAATTTGTCGCATGCTTGGACTGGTTGTAGACGATCACCTGCGATCGACAGAGGTACAGTACAACGCGAAATTTCAACAAGGATGCAACAAACCCACGCAGGGGCATGCTGTCTTTTCATGCCCATGTCACCTGTAGCCTTTGGCCCTGCGCTCTCTCAGTAGCTGCCGCAAGGCAAACTGCAGTCCTAGGACGTATCGCTTCACTGTAGACCGCCGTCCGCGGCGGACAGGAGTGCAACCGTGCAGGCAAGCGGTGCGGAAAACCAGCAAATCACCACGGTTCATGGCTGCCTCATGCTTGCGGCCATTCATTTTGGTGAAGAATCTCCCGCCCGTAAAGTCCTCACCCTCCTGATGTAGCATCAGAACCATTTGCAAAGGGAATGACACCTCACCATAGATATCTCGATGTTCGCGGTTTTCACCACCTTCTTGATACCAGAGGAACAAGTTGCTGGGGCGTGTCTGACCTCTTCTGATGCAGAGATCCTCAAATTCCTGAAGGGTTGTCGGCAGCGTTTCCAATCGTTTTTCTGCAGGATCCGGACCGGATAAAGAGAATGTGCGCCTGGAAGACTGTACCTCGAGCTTGTGCGATTCGAGGAGCTCTGCTGCTATCGGTAGCAAGGCTTCATAGGCAACCTCGCGAAGAGTTGCAAGACTGACAGGCAGCTGCCTCAAGTAGTCATAGCCTTGGTAGCAAAGCTTTGGGCCGCTGGGCTTCTCAAATCCGCAAAGACCGCTACCTCGGTGCTTTCGGCTTTTACCCGTTTGCAAAAAATCAGACCAACCCGATACACTCCGCTGCCCAGTGCAGCGGAATGCCGGCACAGTAAACTACAACAGACACATTCGTGACTCGGGTGCAACTTCAAGGGCCTGAGCCTGATTCAGGGTGCATGCTTTGAGTAGCACCCTGCTTCTAACGATGCTTCTTCGCGAACTGTAGAACAGCAGCCAGAGCTTGAGCACGGGGCAGTGAACAAGTCTAGGTTGATTGGGGGAACGTACACAAGACACCCGGAATCGCAAATGAACCGGGGCTCTGGGGCTGCCTCATTTGGACAAAAGAAGACGCTCACCTCCAGTTGCCTGCAAACTCTACACTGCGATCTTCAAGCCTGCTACCTAATTTGCACTTTGAACTTCGGCGAATCCGAAACTTAACTGAGCACTTCCCCATACGGCATGCAGCGTGACTGAAAAGATCTGCAAGGCAAACGGCAAGGTAAAAACGCGCACTTGTACTGCTCGTCTCTTCTTGAATCCAGTGCTGTTTTTAGATGCTTGCGCATGCTGCTCCCTGATGTTTGCACGCACTGCCCGGTCTTCCAGAACAAGACTCGTGCTCAGCATTCTGATTCTGATGCGACTTGGCCTAGCAAGGCGTGAGCTGCCCTTACAGCTGAGGACATAGCCTCCATTGCCCTTGTTTTGCTGCTCCATCTTCACAGCTCCCCCTTCCAAATGGCAGGGCAACTCCTGCAGCAGCCTGTCGACATCTCCCGCGTTGAAAGCGCCTGGGAGAATGGAAAATCCAAACTCCTCGAGCCCCTGCTGGGTGGAAGGGCTGCATGCCCATTGCCGAATGCGCTCCTCCCAGTGCTCCCGATAAGCCGCTCGATAAGCGGCAGACTGGTGGCCTCCATGGCCGGAATGGGAATGGCCGTACATGAGGACGCACACCACACTTGAGCAACCGGGTGGCGCTGGTGTCTGGTGATCATGAAAAGTTATCTAATTGTACGTAGTAATTCCCGTCTCTGTAGGCATGCCGGGCTGTCCCTGGGCACCGTGCGGGCAATGCAGTCCAGCGAGGAAGCGCAGCAAGTTTATGCAGGCTCACAATTAACGCCGCTTCAGGGTGGACACAAGGCACAGCAGCTCGGCGGGAGCACTGTGGGGAACGGTGGCTCCGGCGCCAGTGGTGCAGAGATATCAGCCTTTGCGCGCTGTTGGCACACCTAGCATGGCTGCCGAGCAGGAGCGTGCAGTAAGGCGAACACAATCACAAGCAGCAGTGCACCCAGCGGCCTGGAACGCCTGCACTACTGGAGCATTTCTTGGGCCAGGTACCACACCTGAAAGCCAGGCAGTGGTTCGTGGGATGCATCACCAATACAAGCATTGATCTGAGATGGGAGCGAAGTCGAGAAGAACCACTGACCAGGCATTGGGAAACGCGCCGGGAGAACTTGGATAACATGATACCTGGACAATTTCAAGATTACATTGCGACTCTTGGGAATGGAAGAGTCTTACGGCATGAAGCTGCAGCCAAAGCACAGGCACCGGAGACACTCTTGTTGAGCACCGGCAGACGAGCATAAAAAGCTGCATCGGCAGAACGACAACATGGAAACGCAGTCACTGGCTGAAGCAATGGGAAGCAAAAAGGTGACCTGCCGTCGCAGATTGGAATCTCTTAGACCTCTCTCTAAGCTTGTTGCTGGCCACCCTGCCCTCGAGACCCTATTTGTGTCCAAGCAGACCGACTCTTCACGCAGTGCGCCCAGCGGTTGCCGGCTGCCGCAGCCTGAGGCAAGGGGACTATGCTACGACTCTCGACTGACACTTCCCGAGTGACCTAGTGATTGCAGTTGTCGTCAGCAATGTCTAGCTGCTTCGTTGAAGTCCCGAGAGACTGTGTGCACCAATCAATTGTCGGAACACCTAAGGTCCTAAGGAGAACTAACACAAAACGAAACCTCCTGAGAGAGCGCCAACCTAGGCCGATCAACGTGACTGCCAGGGCACTGTCGTTGGATCTCGAGCAGTTCTCGCTCCAAGTCCTGCGAGTCCGCAGTCTGCCTGGCACCGCAGCCGAAGTACAAAAAGAAATTTTGTTTCCGGGTCCTTCACACCAAACTAACCAAGCCAGCTCTTATGCTATCGCTCTTCTTGGCGAAGCCCAAGGTGGCCTGGGCAGAACCGAGACGTCGCCGGGCTCCACGCCGGTTTCGCTCACGGCTTCGAGCTCCAACGTGGCAAGGCCTCTGTCTGCGATGCCGGTCCGCCGCGGTCCTCTGTGCTCTTTGCTGAGCCACTGGCTGGATGCTTCTTCTGCTAGGTCCCTTTGCAGCTGCGCAAGAGCCTGGCGAGGGGATTCTATGAGCCCTCGCATCGCATGCCTACTTTCTGCTGTCTTGCTCCTGCTTTGGGATTATGCAGTCGCAAAAACTCAGGAACTAAGTTGCCACTGTCAGGACTTCGACAGCAGATCCGTCGAAACTGTCGGTGTGAGCTTATCTCACTTGCATGTCACCAAAACAGTTGCAACTACTGTCGGCCACGTCCGGTTCACTTCCGTAGTCCCCAGCGCCAGAAACCAGGTCACGGCGTCAACCGTGA